AAAGAGAGAGAGAAGAAAGAGAAGAGAGAGGAGCAAAAGGAGAGAGAGAAACAAGAAGAGAGAGAAGCAACAGAAGAGAGAGACACAGAGAGAGAGAGAGAGATTGATTAGGAATTGTCTCTCTATGGGGAAGGTGAGGATATCTATAAAGCAGATATATCCTAAGAAGAGGCAAGGAAGAAGTAAGGTTTAGTTACCTTACTTGCTCTTAGGGACAATGGAACATGCATGTTTTGAGGAGAACCTGTTTTTTCTTTTTCTTTTTTTTTTCTTTTCTACAGAGGCAGTTCTGAAGCCCCAGCTTTTTAGCTTAATGGCCTGGCTTCCTAGGAATGACCAAGGGGTTATAGAATCATAGAATTTGACACTTGGAAGGGACCCTAGACACCATCTAGTCCAACTTGCACTTGAATAAGAATTCCTCTTAAAATATACATGACAAATAATCATTCAGCCTCTGGAGAAAGAACTCAAATGAGGAGGAACCCTGTCTTGAAACAACGCTTTATACTTAGATAGCTAATTGTTAGGAAGTTTTTCCTGACATTAAGTTTAAATTTGCCTATTTGTAATTTTTATCAATGCTCCTGGTTCTGTCCCTTGGGGGTGTCCCTGATATTGGAAATGTCTCCTAATTTGCTGTTGCTGGGCTTTGCCAGGAGATCCTCTGAATAGCCAGGCTTTTCCCAGAAGTCAAAGAGAGTGGGGAAAATGACTCACTACTTTGCCTTCATCCTTTTGAGGCTGAACCATGGTTTGGGGAGAGATGTAGCTTCTTATAGGATCTAGGTTTTGGGGTTTGTGTGTAAGAGAGCGTATGTGTACACATTTCTGTGCTTTACAGGAGCATGTGTGCCTGTTTATGCATGTGTGTATGTGTATGCACATCGAGGTTTGCAGATGTATGGGTATGCCTGCTTATATGCAAGGGTACATTCATATATATGGTGGTCAGCATGTTCACACATGCCTATTTATATTTCTGTTAGAACATGTGTGTATCGTTGAGTGTACATGTATATGTGTATAGAGCACTGATGGAAGGACATGGACCAAATAATAGAATCAGAGATGATAGGATCACAGATTTAGAGGTGGCAGGGACTTTGTTGTTATTGTTCAGTCTTTTTTCAATTGTGTCTGACTCTTCATGACCCCTCTTGCCCAGGGTCACACAGCTAGTGCCTGAGGCTAGATCTGAACTCAGGTCTTCCTGAATCTATCCACTGCATCACCTAACTGCTCCTAATATACAATAATACAATACAATATTTCCCTAGAGTATGCCTATGTGGGTTCATCAGCATGCTTGAGTTTCTTGAGGTGTGTCTCTTTATTGGCGGGGGCAGATTTATGTGTGCACATGTCTGTGTGTGGTAGGGAAGACTCAAGTATGTGTATATATAGCAAGGGGCACCTGGTGACCATTGAGCAGGGGCTCACCCACAATGGAGAGGATCACCACCACGAAGTCAAAGATGTTCCAGCCAACAGTGAAGTAGTATTGACGCAGCGCTAGCATCTTGAGCACGCACTCGCCTGTGAAGATGATGATGAAGACCATGTTGATGTTGTAAAGGATGTCAATCTTGAGCTGGCTCTGGTCATCTGTCTCTACCATCATGGTGACCATGTTGAGACAGATCAAGAACATGATCGTGATGTCAAATGCTTGCTTGGTCACAAAGTCATACACCATGCCCTGAATCTTGTTCTTTAGCACAAAATGGGAGATGGGACATGGGAGGGTTCAGGAAGGACATGGACGGCCATATGACACACAGAGAGGCAAATAGCACAGGACACAACAGACAGAAAAGAGAGAAAGAAGGTGCATCAGGTCACCTGGGAGGAGCCCTCAGATACCGTGAGGAGTGGGGGATGGGGATAGAATGAGTTGGGACTGACTCAATGCCAAGCCTGACTGTTCTCTCCAGCGAGAAGCCCCTCTGGAATCCACCCCTATCAGGGAATCCTTCGTGGGATCCTTCAGGGCAAGGGCCTTTTCTGGGGGAGCATCTCTTATTTTAGGGGATCCATTCGCTGACAACTCTCTCAGCCTGGGATATCTCCCTTTGCTTGGTTCATACCCAAGGCATTGCCCACTTGGGATGCAGGACTAACATTCCCATATCCCTCAAGAGGGACTTTGTCCAGTGGGTAAGGGACGGGTGCTGAGATGGGGGAGCAAGGAAAGCCAGTATAGAGAAATATAAACAAAAATACTTATGAAATTATTTAAACTCAGATTCACTGAGAGTGGCAAATCAAAAGATAATTATTGGAAGTGGAAGAGCAGGTTGAGGGAACGTTCTGGGCTTTCACGGGGATGAGGCACTTCATTCTCCCACACTTTCACCCCCCCCCACCCTCCCATAGAGAGTATACCTGAGGTCGAGGAATTGGCTTCTGCGGCTTCTTGGAACCCAGTTTTTTCATGGCATTATAGTATTTTTTCTGTTCCTCTGTCATGAAGATGTCCTTTCCTCCAAAGTATAGTGGGAATGAGCCCATTTAGATGAGAGAGCCCCTGCTCATCCCCTCAACCTCTCAGTATCCTCACAACACCAAGCGATTAGTTCCATCTGCATAATGACTCTGAGAACCACTAAAGCTATGGGTGTTTGTGGGGACCCCTGGCCCAATAAGGCAACTGAAAGTCAAGCCAGCTGGAAGGTTAAGACCTCTGTCATTGTGTCATTCTATGATTCTAAGGGGCTAAGGGATTAAGGGGGGATGGAAGGAAGGGCTTGCACAAGTAATGAGAAGATTGTGGGAATTGGCAAGCTGAGGAGATGGGGCCGTGGGGAGGGGGGAAGAACTGGAAGGGAATGCAGAAGAAATAGAGGTAAAGGGAGAGCAAGTAGGGAAGAGGGCAAAGAGGAAGAGGGAAAAGAATAGAAAGAAAGGATGTGGTTGGCCTGGGTATGATACTCATCTTCTTTTTTTGCTGGTTGAAGTTGTCAATGATGACTCCAATGAAGAGATTGAGGGTGAAGAATGCGCCAAAGATGATGAAGAGGACAAAGTAGATGTACATATAGATATTCACCTCATACTGGGGTTGTTCTTCAACCTTTTGAGTCAAAATGGGGGTGAATGAGCACTAGCTCCCCAGTGAGAGAGACGGAGCTACCAGCTCCTCTCCCCACCCCCACAACCCCATCATGGAATGGAATCCCACCGCGGAAGGGAGGGTCTCTCTTCCAGAGGAAGAGAGTAGAGGAGATGGGGCTGTGCCTCTGGCAGTGCTAGGGATGGAACAGCGTAGGAAAAGGACATCACGTTACAGTTCAGAGCTCCATGGAGGGCTGGGAGATCAGGGGGAGTCACTCATCTTCCTTTTCCTGCATCCAACCTGTCAAACCAAGGATTTGGGAGGTGTGCTTGTGCGTTCCAGTTTCACTGACCTCTCGGGAATCTACAGCTGCATACATGATATCCATCCAGCCCTTGAAAGTAGCCTGGATAAAGTTGAAGGAGAAAGTCAGAAGCATTTTGATGGGAGAAGGAGAGTCCATCTACTTACTGGAAGACTCATCAACCCACCTGTACTTCCAGTTTTTGTAAATCAGCTCCCACCCACCACAAAGCACAAAGCTGGTTCTCATGTTCTGCCTTCCCAACAGCAGGGACATCAGCAGGGCTGGGATGACTGTCCCAAGACCCAGGGTGAGGGTGGATGATATAACAGAATGCTGGACTTGGAATGAGGACGATCTGGGTTCAAATCCTGACTTTAAATCCTGGTAGCTGTATGACTCCAGGACAAGTCATGACCTCTGGACCTTAGTTTCCTTATCTACAAAGTAAGGGGTTTTGACTCCTCAATAACCTCTAAGTGCCATCCTAGCTCCAAATCTATGAGGGAAATGACTAGTAAGGAGAATGAGAGTCAGGAGCTTTCCCAGCATGCAGGAAGTCACCAAGTTTTGCAAGTAGGGCTAGGCTGAGAACCTCCCCAGTTCATGACCTCAGGGCATAATAATCAATATTCCAGACCCTTTTCTGTGGCGTCTTAAAGCACCAGCATCCAGGACCTCCCATACTTTATGTGTGTGTGTGTGTGTGTGTGTGTGTGGGTGTTGGGTGGGTGGTGGGTGGTGGGTGATGAGGTTTCACCTTCATAGTGGAAAGAATGCTAGACGAGGAAGGAATCAAGATCCTGGACCTGTAACTAGACATTAACTAGCTGGATGACCTTTGGCAAGTCAATTAAACTCTCAACCCCTGTTTCCTCACCTGAAAAATCAGAATAAAAAATAATATTTGCACTGCCTAACCCACAGGTGCTTGTGAGGCAAATGCTTTGTAGACATCAAAGTGCTGTGAAAACCTGAGTCCATTACCTACCTCTTGGAGTTGTTGGGAGGATTAAATGAGAAAATGTTTGTGAAAATGTTCTATAAACTAATCAACTTAAAGGCTAGATACATTTGAGTTAATATTATGCAGATGCAAATTGCTATTATTATTATTATTATTGTGGAGGTTGTTATGAGAGCCCCACCCCAGCTGACAGAAAGATCAGGGAGCAACTGTAGCTATAGAAACAGGGACAAAACCAAGAAGAGATGAAAACGACAGCTCGAGGGGGGTGACTGCCTGCCTCTCTCTCCCTCTCTCTCAATAATTCTAAAGCAGTCTGGAGGGATTGAACTGAGGTCCCTAGCAAGGTGCTCTAACAAAATCGGACACTTTCCATTACTCTTTAAAATATGCAAAGCATTTTGAATATATTATTTCACTTGAGCCTCCCAACAGTCTTGTGAGGTAGGTGCTACTCACCCATTTCCCATACGGTTGACACCCAGAGAGGTGAAATAATAATAATAATAATAATAATAATAATAATAATAATAATGATAATAATTAATAATAGCCAAATTTTATTTATTTCTTTACAAATCTTTGAGGTTCATAAAACATTTTTCATGTTTTATCTAGTTTGATTTTCACATCACCTCTCTTAGGTAGGTATCATTATTATTCACATTTTACAGATGGGGAAATTGAGGGTAAGCAGGGGCTAAGTGACTTATCTAGGGTCACTCAGTTACTCACTCAACAAGCACTTGTTAAGGCACTGTACTAAGTATCGGAGCAAAGAAATATCAAAGGTAAGTTTTGAACCCAGATCTTTTTGACTTCAAGTCTAAAACTCGGTCCACTAAGCCCCAGTGCTCAATACTTCCTGCAGAGTAGGTAGGTTTTCAACAAATGTGAATGAGAAAATCATGAGAAAGAACTGGGGACAAGCCCAGGTGAGATGAATGGGGTAGAGTTGACAGCCTGGAGGCCTAGAGCTGCCACGCAGCGGGCTCCACTTACCACCTGCAGAAGTGAGAGGTAGCCAAGGCCCACATTGTCAAAGTTGACCTTGACATTGACCCATCGGACCTCCCCGGTATCCATCAGTTTGAAGCAGTCTGACATGTTGTTGACAACAGAGATGTCAAAAATCTCTGAGGTGGTGGTGTTGATGCATCGGTAATACTTCCCTGCAAACAGGTTGACCCCCATGATGCTGAAGATGAGCCAGAAGATCAGGCAGACGAGCAATACATTCATGATAGAGGGGATGGCGCCCAGAAGGGCGTTCACCACCACCTGGAAACAGGGGGACAGGCAGGTTGTGGGAGGAGGTGTCACAGACTGGGACCCAGACATCTTCCCCTGTTCACCCTACCTAGCATGCCAGGACCCTGAGCCATAGCCCAATGGAGGAAGGAGCTGACTCTGCGCTTACAGGTTCATAAGTCGTTGGGTGAAAGTAGAGTAGGGTGAAACAGCCACCATCATCTGGGAACTTCCAGCCTGATAGCGGGGTTAGGACACATATACACACAAAAAAAGTAAAGAAAGGAGTGGAAATGGATGGAGTTAAGAAGGAAAGACTTCCTGGAGCACTCAACAGAACCGGGAAAAAAGGAGAGAAGTGAGGAAGCTATCCTAAGTTTGTAGCACAGCCACCATCAAAAGTTCAGAGGTAGGGATTGGTAGAGAATGGAGAAGGGACAACGGATAAGATTTTGCCTGGAAAAAGCCTTGTGTCTGGGAGTAGAAGATTGGGTTGGGAAGTGAAAGCAAGGGATTAGAGAATGGAGAGCTATTGGGAAGGGTCCTGGTACCCATCTGTGGTCAGGGGAAGGACCTTTCTGTAAGATCCGTGTGGAGTTCTCTGCTCGGTTAGCAATACGGCTGCCTGGGTTGAGGGGAAGGGGGTTTTCACTGGAGGTATCTCTGCCACAGGTCACTGGGCAAGGGACAAACACTCCAGCCTGGCTCCCCTCCCCCTAAATAGGAAACTTGAGGCCTCAGCCACACATGATTACTTTTTCTCCCCTTCCTCCCACCCCCCTGGCTGACTGGGCAACTATGAAAACAGCCTCAAGCATAGAAGGGAAGCCACCAGGCTTTGCTGAATCTGAAGCAGGCTGGCATGTGTGGTAGGAAACCTTCCTTGTCTTCCCATGAAGGAGTTGCAGTTAATTTTGCCTGGTTAGCATAATCTAGCCTCACTTACTCAGAGTACCAGAGCAGAGGCCAGTCTGAATTCGTGAATTCTGGTAGATTTTTTTTAAACAGAGTTTATTGTCGCTGTTCAGTCGTTTCAGTTGTATCTGACACTTTGTGACCCCATTTGGGATTTTCTTGGCAAAGATATTGGAGTGGTTTGCCTTTTCCTTCTCCTGTTTATTTTACAAATGAGGAAACTGAGGCAAACAGGATGAAGTGACTTGCCCAGAGTCACACAGCTAGTAAATGTTTGAGGCCAGATTTGAACTCAGGTTTGCCTGACTCTAGGCCCAGTGTTCTATCCTTTGTGCCACCCTCAAACAGAGTTGCTGTCATATTAACCTCTAATACTGTAGTCCATATTAACTAATCAGGTGATACAGTGGATTAGGGAACTGGATCTGGGGACAGGAAGACTTGAGTTCAAATCCTGACTCAGACACTAGCTATATGACCCTGGGCAAATCACTTAACTATTCTCTGCCTCAGTTTCCTGAAGAGCAAAATGGGGATAATAATAATACCTACCTCCAAGGGTGGTTGTGAGGATCAAATGAGATATTCATGAAGTGCTTTGCAAACCTTAAAGTGCTATATAAATGCTAAGGGCCAACAATGGACTGCCAAGTAGAAACTAGGCTGAAGTGTTTTCATGAAGGGATAAGAACAATTGTAATAAGCATACTGTTTGTATACAGGGAGACGCTTAAAACAATTGATTAAACATCCCCCAGACATTGTTTGGGCAGCTAGGTGATGCAGTGAATAAAGTGCCACGCCCAGAATCGGGAAGACCTGAGTTCAAATCTGACCTCAGACACACTTAATAGCTATGTGACCCTGGGCAAGTCACTTCACCCTATTTGCCTCAGTTTCCTCATCTGTAAAATGAACTGGAGAAGGAAATGGCAAACCACTCCAGTATCTCTGCCAAGAAAACCCCACATGGGCTCACAAAGAGTCAGACCCGACCGAACAACAACAAACATTGTTTACTCTATTAATTTGCTTAGAAGCCTTTTTTCAGACCTGCGGTTTATCACAGACGTTGCATGAGGTGGTAAAAAGAGCGTTGCAGTGAGAGTCAGAAGGCCTGGGTTCCAATCCTAGGTCCATCTGACTCTATCTGTTTGCCAAAGGATGAAGCATCTAACTTCTCTGGACTTGTCTTGCTCATCTATGAAACGTGGATACCAATATTTGTCACGCTATTTTTATGTGTGAAGATCAAATGAAATGCCATATATTGAGCGCTCTGTAACTAAGCAAGATATATAAGGGTGAGCTATTATTAGCTTTCTCAAACTTTATTTCCATCAGTCACTTCCCCACACGGAGACTTGAGGTGGCTGCTGATTGCTTATGGGCTCAGTGGAAACTCAGCCTGTTACCCAAAGCTGTTTGTTCACCAGAACCTAATAGAGGAGAGGAGAGGAGAGGAGAGGAAAGCAAGGTTCCAGGTTGGAGGCCAACTGGCCCTTCTATCCTAGCTCAGGACCCCAAGTCCCTAAAACCCTGGAGTGGTTCCTTATCTGCTGGAGGAAAGCAGAGGGGAGGTGGTATTGGATAGGGGAAAGACACTGCATTTGAAGTCAGAGGTCCCCCATTCAAACCCTAGTTATTTGACTTTTCTGGGTCTCAGTTTCCTCATATGTAAAAAGGGGATAATAATAGCACATAGGTTTTTTTTTTTTTGTGAGGATCAAATAAGATGATATTTAAAGCAATTTGCAAACCTTAAAAGGCTATGATGATAATAATAGCTTTTAAGGTTTGTGAAGCACTGTACAGATGTTACCTCATTTGATCCTGGCAATGGCCCTGGGAGGTAGGTGCTATTATCATCTCATTTTATACTTAAGGAAGCTGTGGCCCAGAAAGGTTAAGAGAATTGCTTAGGGTTACACAAGCTAGTAAGTGTTTGAGGTAGGATTCAAACTCAGGTCTTACTGACTCCAGGTTCACCACTCTATCTATTGTGCTACCTAGACAGACCATAGTGTTTTGGAGGTTATAAAACAGCATCTCTGTTTAAAAATCTATCAAAATTCACAAATTTAGATTGGTCTCACCTCAGAGATTCTAGGTAAGTAAAGTTTAGAGTATGCTAACCAAGCAGAATTAGGGGAAGGGCATAAGCACTTATGGGGGTAGCTAGGTGGTACAGTGGGATAGAGTGCTAGACCTGGGGTCAGGAAGACTCATTTTAGTGAGTTCAAATCTGGTCTCAGATACTTACTAGCTGTGTGACCCTGTGCAAGTCACTGTTTGCCTCAGTTCTTCTTCTGTAAAAATGATCTGAAGAAGAAAAGGGCAAACCACTCCAGTATCTTTGAGAAAACCCCAAATGGGGTCACAAAGAGTCAGACATAGCTGGAACAACAAATAAGCATTTATACAGTGCATACTATGTGCCAGGCACTGTGGTAAGTGCTTTTCAACAAATATTATCATATTTGATCTTCACAACAACCCTGAGAGGTAGATGTTATTATTATCCTCATTTTACAGTTGCGGAAACTGAGGTAAACAGAAGTCAAGTAACTCGCCCAAGGTCACACAGAGAGTAAGTGTCTAAGGCCAGATTTGAACTTAGGTCTTCCTGACTCCAGGCCCAGTGCTCTATCTACTGTGCCACCAGCTGCCTCTAAGCATGAACTAAGGTTCTCTACCTCACATGCCAGGTTGCTTCAGATTTAGCAGGGCCTGGTGGCTTCCTTTCTATACTTGAGTCTTTGTTTTCATGGTTGCCCAATCAGCCTTCCCCAGAGAATTCCACTAAGTTAACTCACTCATTTCTTCTGGACCCCTCCACTCTTGAACAAAATGTGCATTCACAGAATTACAGGACCTGAGTGGGAAAGAACCTCAGAATTCACCTGTTCCGATTCCTGCTAGAGCAGGGGTCCTCTCAGCAGTAGCCCTGGCCCAAAGGCCTCCAGCCTCTCTCCTCGAAGACCTCTAGAGCCTGGCAACTTATCAGATGTCAAGGGAGCCCATCCCAGTTGTAGACAGCTCTAATTGTCAGGAATTTTTTTTTTCTCACATGGAGTCAGACTCTCTCTCTAAGACTTCCGGCCAATCGTTCCCAGTTCTACCCTCTGGAGCCAAACAGAATCTTTCTTCTCTATGACATTCCTTCAGATTTTCAGTTGTATTCCCCTCTCTGCCTAATTATCCGTGCCTCCACCCTCACCCCTCACCCTCTATTTCCAGCTCCTTCAATCATGGGTGGTGTGCTTTCCAGTGCCTTCACCATCTTGGTCAGCCTTTCTGGACACACTCCTACTTTTGTCAACATCCTTCCTAAAATGTGGACCCCAGAATTGAACAAAATTTTCCAGATAAAAAATGCATGGGAACCATCCTTCTCCCTTGTTCTGGATACTAAACATTTTCAATGCAGCCCAGGATTACATTAACTTTTTTTTTTTGGTAGCCATGCCAAACTATTGACTAACATTGAGCTTGCAGTCCACTAAAACCCCCAGGTATTTTTTTTACACAAAATATTGTCTAGTTACATTTCCCCTAGTTCTAAACACTTTGTCATCCATGCATAAGTCTTAATGTCCTCCATTGCATCATGTTTTGTGGGGGTAGGGGCCCCATAAGAAAACTAGTCTCATTTCCTTATAGTCACGCCTCCTACATTCCATATCTGTTGTTGTTGTTCATCATGGCTGACTCTCCATGACCCCATTTGAGGTTTTGTTGGCAAAGATACTAGAGTGGTTTGCCATTTCCTTCTTTATCTCATTTTACAGATAAGGAAATTGAGGCAAATGGGGTTAAGTGACTTGGCCAGGGTCACACAGCTAGTAAGTGTCTGATGCCAGATTTGAACTCAGGCCTTCCTGACTCCAGTTCCAGCACTCTATCCCCTATACCACCTACCTACCCTACAGTGTCTCTCTACAACTAGGCTACTACCTCTTACTGGGCAGTAGCTGTGTCTTCTGTTCTTTTCAATGTCTTATTCTCCACTCCATGATGTCATGGATAGAGTGCTGATCTTACAGTTTGGAAGAGTTCAAATCCTGCCATTTACTAGCCGTGTGACCTTGGGCAAACAGTTTAACTTCCCCAGGCCTCAGTTTCCTTATCTGTAAAATGAAGGGGTTGTACTAATTGAACTCTAAGGTCCATTCCAATTCTCTATGATCCAAGGTGCTTAATGCAAGGTTATTGGGGAGCATTTGATTTCAAGTCAGAAGACAGAGAAGACATGGGTTTGAATCCTGGCCCAGCTTTACTTCCTACCCTCTGTTCGACCTGGGGCAAGTCATGAATGACAACCCTCTGGGTCTTAATTTCTTCCTCTATAAAATGAGTTGGATCAGATCATCCCTAGGGTCCCTTCCAGCTCAAAAAATCCTGTGACTCTTTGGGCACTTGGTCTCTCAAGAAAGGACTGTTAATTTGATTTGTGAAATCAGACTTTTTACCTCCTTCTCCATGATCTCAGGGACAGAGAGAAGTAATGAGGGCTAATGGTGGAGAGAAGGTTTTCCTAAAGGGACTTAACTAAGAAGCCATTTCCTTGTAGGGATAGGGCTCAGGAATGGGGCAGGAATGTGAGCCCCCAAAATTATTTCACTTATTCTCCTATCCTAGGAGAACCAAGATTGAATGATGCTTCCTGGGACAAACCAAGTTGTGAATTAGGGGTAGATGTTACCCAAACTGAAAATATTTCCTTTTAGTTAGGTACTATGTGTTACTATTCCAAACCACATCCTGTTATTTTCCATGCCTATCCAACTCCCTTCCCTTTCCCTCCCCCTCCCCCATCCTGGCCAACTGCAGCTTAATCTGGACCACTCAGCAAAACCTGGCCTGAGTCTGCCGTTGGTGTGAAAAGCTTCTAGGTATGTCAGCGTTTGGCTCTGAGTGAGGCTGGGTCACTAGCAGTATAGGCTATGGACATATGGCTCCCTGACTTCTCTCTGGCTTTCCCTTGCTTAGTTAGAAGGTCCATCTCTTGGGCAGGAGAAGAGCAAGTAGATTATTGACCATTGAAAACAAGTTCACTCATTACTTGTCTTCTTGGAGGCTTTCCCTCTCTTCCCTCTGCTTCAAGTTCCTCTCTCTGATTCTCCTCTCACCCAGTCCCAAGTTCCTAGAGCACCTACCCTCATGCCTTCAAATCTGGACAGGGCCCGGAGTGGCCTGAGTGCCCGAAGTGTTCGGAGTGACTTGATGGGCCCAAGTTCAGAATAGCCCAACCAATTGGCCACCAGGCTGATGATGGAGACCTGGTGAGAAAAGTCAAAGAGGAGGGATTAGCAAGGAGGACACTCAGTAGCAAGGGGTACATGGGACAGGGATAGGGTAGGGGCTATAGCCCCCTGGCCCCCAAGGTACATTATCTACTGCATTCATCTCTCCTAAGCCAAGAGAGAACTGACCCTTAATAGATACATTCTTCCTGAGGACATAATTTCAATGTGTCATTTCTCCCACACCTCATGGCTCTTCAGGGTCAGAAAAAGACTTGTCCAACCCCTGAGTCCTGCCTCCTGGAGAATAGAAGTGAGCAAGTGCTTAGGGAAGCAGCATAGTACAGAGTAAATAGTACATGGAAAGTATTCCGCATCTCTGATTTTTGCTTGTTGTATAACCTTGGATGAATCATTTGGTCTTTTTAAGCCTCGATTTCTTAATCCATAAACTGGGGGTAAAAATAATCACCCTACCTACTTGATAGAAACATTCTGAGGATCAGATGAAGCAACATAGGTTAAAAGGCTTTGAAAAGGATAAAGGGCTATACAAATAAGAGATATTTGTATTATAAGTTGCCTATATTTCTACCTCCTTTTCCATTTCTTCCACCCAAAGCCCATCCAATCTCTTCTTTGTCCAGCTTGAGTTTCTTTGGGATCTTTCTACCTATCCCTTGGGTATATACCAGGCTCTGGCATCCCCTTGCTTTTAAGGCTAGGCTAAATATTCCATTAGAATGCAAGCTCTTTGAGGACAGGAACTGTGTTCATTTTTGTCTTGCCTGATATACAGTAGGCACTTAATAAAAGCTTGTTGCATCCATAAACTGAAAAGAACAGACCTGGTTGGGATCCTGGGCCCTCAGACATTCCTACTGCCCTCCCACCCCACCTTTGAAGGGAGCCCAGTGTCATTGGCCCCCAGCATGGTGACTCACATCTACAATGAGGAAGTCAAGCCAGCACCAGGCATTGGTGAAATACACCTTAAAGCCATAAGCCACCCACTTGAGCAGCATCTCTAAGACGAATACATAGGAGAAGACCTTGTCCGCGTACTCTAGGATCGTCCGGATCACCTTCCGTTGCTCAATGTAGATGTCTTCAAATGCCTAGAAGAGGGACAGAGAGCCATGAACACACTTGGAGGGATGGGAGGATGGAGAGATGTGCACCTAGCAGCAACCTTGGGAGAGATGGAAGAAGGAGTTGGTCTCGGGTCTCATTTAGTTGATTTTTAGTCATGTCTAACTCTTCATGACCCCATATGGGGTTTTCTTGGCAAAGACACTGGAGTGGTTTGCCATTTCCTTCTCCAGCTTGTTTTACAGATGAGGAAACTGAGGCAAACAAGTACAGTAACTTGCACAGCTAGTAAGTGTCTGAGTCTAGATTTGAACTCAGGAAGATGAGTCTTCCTGACTCCAGGCCCAGAACTTTATCCACTGCTCCACCTAGCTGCTAGCTCTACCCATAAATGATATCACCAGTCCCCAGAAAACAGTACCCAGCTAGAATCTGACCAGTTAACTGCAGAATGGGATAGGTAGAATTATTCAGCCCTCAGTGGAGATATCATGGACAGGGTTATGGACCAGCAGAGGGAGAGTTACTAAGGTGTATGATCCTAGCAGTATTTTTAAGATATCTATCTACCCTGCAAGAGATAAGAAAATTCCCCTAAGGGACTTAAAAAAAACAACAAACCTTGTTATTCATCTATGTCCAATCCAATCAAATCTCAATAATTATCTTCTTTGAGGATTATGGACAGTAATGCTTTTTTTAAAAAAGATTTTTATTGATATCTTTTGCTTTTATTTCACTTGGATTTTTCCCATATCTTTCTCTCCCTCTCTGAGATAGCTATCCCTTATGATAAAGACTTTTTTTAATAGAAGAAAATTCAGCAAGATTGAGTAATACATAAAAAAAAAGCTGATGTTCACTTTTAATTCAATTCATCAAACATTTGCTAAGCACCCATTCTATAGGATGTCCAGTTCTAGTCCATGGAGATATAAAAACAAGAATGAAATGTTATCTATCCTTGAAGCTAACATTTTCTGAGAGGGATGGAAAAGAGGAGCATTTATAATATTCATATAGATAAATAAAAAGCAATAACAAATAATTCAAGAGGTAGAAATCACTAACAACTAGGGAGATTAAAAATGTCCTAGTACAGCAGGTGGCATCTAAATGATACGTTGAATCCTAATCTGGCTTCCCCAACTGGCCTAGGAAACACCCTCTTTCCCAGCTCATATCATCCCCAACAGTCAGAAATTGTAGATAAAGCATCATCAACCTGCATCAAGTAAAATAAGGGAGGCCAATCTATTGCTTTTTAAAAAAATAAACCCTATATAGGCCAAGTTAATATAATAAAAATGACAATTCTACCTAAGCTAATTTACTTATTCAGTGCCATACCAATCAAACTACCAAAAAATTATTTTATAAAGTTAGAAAAAATTATATCAAGATTCATTTGGAAGAACAAAAGGTCCAGAATATCAAGAGAACTAATGAAAAGAAATGCAGGAGAAGGTTGCCTAGCCATTCCAGATCTTAAATTGTATTATAAAGCAGCAATCACCAAAACTGCTTGGTAGTGGCTAAGAAATAGAGTGGTGGATCAGCGGAATAGGTTAAATATGCAAGACACAGTAGTCAATGACTATAGTAATCTATTATTTGATAAACCCAAAGACCCCAGCTTCTGGGATAAGAACCCACTCTTTGAAAAAAACTGCTAGGAAAACTAGGAAAGAGTATGGCAGAAACTAGGCATGGACCAAAATCTCACACCATATACCAAAATAAAATCAAAATGGGTACACGATTTAGATATAAAGGCGGATACTATAAGCAAACTGGGAGAGCAAGGAATAGTCAACCTGTCAGATCTGTGGAGAACTGAAGAATTCATGACCAGACAGGAGATAGAGAACATTATGAAAAGCAAATGGATAATTTTGATTACATTAAATTGAAAAGTTTTTGCACAAACAAAGCCAATGCAACTAAGATTAGAAGGAAGGTAGGAAACTGGGAAAGAATTTTTATAACCAGTCTCTCTGATAAGGGCCTCATTTCTAAAATAAATAGAGAATTAAGTCAAATTTATAAGAATACAAGCCATTTCCCAATTGAAAAATGGTCAAAGGATATGAACAGACAAGTTCTCAGATGAAGAAATTAAAGTCATCTGTAATCATATGAAAAAAATGCTCTAAATCACTATTGATTAGAGAAATGCAAATCAAAACAACTCTGAGGTACCACATCACACCTATCAGAATGGCCAACATGACAAAACAGGAAAATAATAAATGTTGGAGAAGATATGGGAAAATTGGAACACTAATGCATTGTTGGTGGAGTTGTGAAATGATCCAACCATTTTGGAGAGCAATTTGGAACTATGCCCAAAGGGCTATAAAAATTTGCATACTCTTTGACCCAGCAATAGCACTTCTAGGGCTATATCCCAAAGAGATCATACAAATGGGAAAAGTACCTACATGTACAAAAATATTCATAGCAGCTCTTTTTGTGGTGGCAAAGAATTGGAAATTGAGAGGATGCCCATCAACTGGGGAATGGCTGAGCAAGTTGTGGTATATGAATGTGATGGAATACTATTGTGCTATAAGAAGTGATGAACAGGTTGACTTCAGAAAAACCTAGAAAGACTTGTATGGTCTGATGCTGAGTGAAGTGAGCAGAACCAAGAGAACGTTGTACACAATAACAGCCACGTTGTATGATAACTAATATTGATAAACTTAACCGTTCCTGGCAATACAAGAATCTAAGACATCTCCAGAGGCCTTGTAATGGAAAATGCTATCCACATCCAAAGAAAGAACTATGGAAGTCGAATTGCTATTTTTTTTCCTCTTCTCTTGAGTTTTGTTTCCTCTTTCTGATGGTTCCTCCTATTGGTTTTAATTTTTACTTACAACATCACTAATGTGAAAATATGTTTAATATGAAAAAAAATAAAACCGATAAAGCAAGAGTTCTTACACTGGGGTTCATGGGACCTCAAAAGGGCCAGTGGATAGATTTCAAGGGATCTATGAATTTGGATGGCAAAAATATTTTTATATGTATTTTTATATTTTTATGTATTTTTGTAGCTATATTTCAATATAGTTGATTTCCTTTGGAATCCTAGGTATTTTACTTACTATATTTATTTATTTATTTTTGTTAATTTATTTTGAATTATCAACAATCACTTCCCACAAGCTTTTGAGTTTTAAATTTTTCCTCTCCTCCCTCCCTCCCCAAGATGGTGCACAATCTGATATAGGCTATACACGTACATTCTTATTAAACATATTTTCACAGTAGTGATGTTGAATTACTTACTATATTTAAAAACACTCTGAGAAGGAATCCATACGCTCAACTAGACTGCCAAATCAAAGGGGTCCATAACAAACAAAAAATGTTTAAAACCTCTTCTATATTCCCAGAGCCAAAGATGATATAGTTAGGTGGCATGGTGGATAGAGGGCCAGAGAGAACTGAGTTCAAATCCCACCTTGGAGATTTACTAGCTGTATGACCCTGGACAAGTCACGATGTCTCTGGTACTTGGTTTTCTCATTTGGAAAATGGAGAAAAATAATAGTACCTATCTTCCAAGGTTGTTGTGAGGATCAAATTTGACAGTATATATAAAGTGCTTTGCACACTTTAAAGTGATATATAAATTCTAGCTATTATTATATTATTAAATCATATAATTATATAATTTATATATTAATAATAATAAAAAATCAAAGAGAAACTACATCTGGACCATTTAGGATACTTCTTCTTTCTGTGGCTGTGAGTAGCCAAGAGGGACCTTTGCACCTTGGTCTGAACAGTGAAAACATAGTGTTTTCCCCTTTGGCTGGGCCCTAGGAAGGAACCCCAGGAGGATGGCGGGAGAAGGACTGGGTCAGTAGATGGCACTCACCAAGGCCCCACTGCTGAGTAGGATCATGAACACAATAAATGTCTCAAACCAATTGTGCTCCACCATCCTGAAGCAAGCTTTTCGAAGGTTCCACCATATTTTCCCCCGATCCGAGGTGATGTCAACATAGAGGAAAGGGAATCTCTTTACACAAGCTGTGAAGACAGAAGGGTTACTAGGAGGAGAGGATCACTACACTATGGCCCATGGGGGCCTCTCACAACTCCTTAGCAAGGTACCCGTGCAAGCCAAAGGGAGGCTCTTCCCATCTCACCTAAAAGGAACATGGCCTCTGTATTTTTCTGTCCCCTGATCTCCCCACTGAACTTCCTCATCCCTTTGCCCCACTCCCACTGATCACCTTTGATGAGCCAAGACTCAGGGAAGGAGGGAGACGCATCTCAGTACCTCCTGTCTCCATGGGGAACGCTGGCTTCTTTCCACTGACATGTCCTTTAACACCCACTGAACTGGGCAGGAGTAGAATTCAGTTTTGGCAGGCTGGATTTAAATTAGTTCTAAGAAAGGGCTTGGAGGGAGGCCCATGGTGAGTCAGGATTTAGACAGGGTGACTAGGAGAGAAAGCAAGAGGTCCCTCACTGGGGAGTGGCATGGGTAGGGGCCCCAGGGGTTGCAGTGGGTCCTCTCCTTCCTCATGGCTCTCAACACAAGACCTCCGATGTTGGCCATGGCAAGGGCGCTGCCTTCTGTGAAAGAAGAGGTGGGCATGGTCTTGCCCCTAGGGGCCCCAGGTCTCTCACCCTCAGTGAAACACTCCTCAGGGAGCTCTCCTTCAGGGTTCTCCTCTTCCTGGGGCTGCTCTTCTCCCTCAGGTGGTTTGTAGTCGGCGGTGCTGCATACCGACGAGTTCCCATCACTCTTGTGGGGTGGTGGCTTCTGCAGGGGATCAGAGGGGCCCAGTGACCCCTAGCTCCTGGGACCTCATGAGGGACCGGGACCCAGGCAGGGATGAGGGTAGGCTGGAGTAGGGGAGAGTGGAACGGGAGGGAGGGGACGGATGAAAGCTTCCTGAAGTAGTGGATGGAGTACTAAACTTGGAGTTGGGAAGACCTGGGTTCAAATTCTACCTCTGAACACTTCCTGTGTAACCCTGGGCAAGTCACCGAATCTCTCTGGGCCTCAATCTCCTCATCTGTGAAATGAAGGGGTTGGACTGGATAAGAACTTTCTTGTATTAATATAGCACTTTCACATTTGATCCTCACAACAACCTAGTGAGGTATGTGCTATTATTATCCCCATTTTACAGATGACGAAACTTTGGCTGAGAGAGAGAGGTTAAGTAGTTTGCTCAGAGTTACACAGGATGCAAAGGAAACAAGCATTTACCAAGCACCCACTATGGGGCAGGCACCGTGCTGAGCACTTTGTAAATAGCTCATTTTATTCTCACAACAACCTTGGGATGTAGGTGCTATTATAGTCCTCATTTTACAGTTGAGGAAACTGAGTCAGACAGAGGTTAAGCGATTTGTCCAGGGTCCCGTAGCTAGTAAGTGAGGCTAGTTTTGAACTCAGTGCTTCCTGACTCCAGGCCCAGCGCTCTAACCACTATTGGACCTCCAAAGTCCCTTTCTTGCTCTCAGACTGTAATGGGTATGGGGAAGGAACTGGAAGTGGGAGGAAGTTAAGGAGGCAGATCAATGAAATGTGTGTGGGAGGTGGGAGGAGGTGCTGTTCTAATGGTTGGGGAAGTAGAGGGATGAGGAGAGGGAATTACTGAGGAATTAAGGGAGTAATTCATTGAGAAGTTAAGGGAATTTTGGGAATGGGCCAGTGAGTAGGAAGACCAGGGAGTAGCCATTGAGGGGATAATTTAGTGAGCAGATAGGGGCATGTCAAGGGGGTCCCAGGTGATGGGAAGATGGGAGACCAGGAGGAGGAGTCCGAGCTCCACAGATACAAGATTCAACCCTCAGGATCTGTTTGGCAAAATATGTCTAGGCAGGATGGAAAATATCTCTGAGCCTCCAGTTCAAACCCAATAGGAATTTGATCCCTGAAGCAAGAGGTGGGGGATGGGGGTGGGGAGGCTCTGAAGCAGTTTATATTTCTTTCCCGGACTAGGACAGACTCTGATGTTTTTCAGAGTCAGACTCCCAAATCCTCCCTACCCCGAGCTCCTCATCCTCAGAGCTCCCAGGGCCCCTTCTCTTTGAGTTTCCAGAGAAGGTTATCCCTGAAAAAATGCAGAGCATGGAGGGAAAGGGTTTTGAGCTCTGAACCGAGGTACGGGGGTCCTTAGTACAGTGCCTGGCACATAGTAGGCACTCAATAAATGTTTATTGACCGATTGTCATGCAAAGAGTGCTTTGAATCTTAACTTTGACACTTACTTGACCATGGGGAAGTCACTTCTCTAAATCTCAATTTCCTCACCTGTAAAATGGGGGTAATAATGCCTGTAAGGACTTTTCTCACAGAGCCTCGGTGGAGATCAAATGAAATAATATATACAAAACAATTTGCAAATTTTAACATGCCAAATACATGCCAGCCTTATAAATGATCATCCTCACCATCTAGCCCAGCAGAAATTTGGCCTTCGGTGGATTGGTATCACATTTTCCAAAACTTTCAGGGCAAAGGTCATATGGGTCCATCCCCCAAATTTCCAGCATATATCCTTTATTTTTGCCTTTCTTTGTAGACCCAGAGCTTAGCACAGTGCATAACATATAGTAGGTGCTCTGGAATAAGCTTTCCCCAGAGACATATTCCTCTTTCTGCTTCCATTTCTGAGGCCTCTCCCTAGTTCCTTGAACTCCTACCCCAAATCTTAGAGACTTAGGGAGGCCCCTTCTTCTAGCATAGAGGTCCATTTCTAGTTACCAATGAATGTAGGTGGGGAAAAATTGAATCTTTTCACTAATCCCTAACTGAAATTTGGCATTTCCTCCAATTATTTAAAAAATATATGTATTCTGAGAAAAGATCCTCCAGACTGATAAAGATATCCACCCCCCTTAAAAAAAAATGAATTCTTGGCCTAGTGGTCCTGAGAGTGACTTGCTGTTATTGTTGGTCAGTTGTGTCCGACTCTTCATGGCTCCATTTGGGGTTTTCTTGGCAAAGATATTGCAGTGGTTTGCCATACTCCACAGTAATATTCCCTATCTAGATACTGTGATCTGGTTCAACAGCACCATCTCCTGGTGAGCTGTTTCAAGATAGCAAAACCTATACCTGAGAGATAAGACACACTGAGTTGGTGACACTCAGTTCTTATCTGTATGTGAAAGGTTGGGGGGATGGGGTGGGGGTGAGGGGGTGAATATATGGGGAAATGCATGGAAGGAGTCAGAGATGGATACACAGAAAGTCAGTGAGGAAAAGGACTCAGTGCTCTCAGGGATTCCAGTCCCCTTTACAAAGATAAAGGTTTTGACAGATCCAGAAAGTCATAATAATGACTGGGGGATGGGGTGAGGAGGGACAAACTCAAAGGAAGAAAAGTTGGAGTAGAGGAAGCATCTTGAGTCAGTGGGGGTGGAGTGTCATGATGTGAATTTGGGCTCAGACACTGGAAAAAGAGAGGACTAGATATTTCAAGATTGTTAGGAAAATTTAAGTAAATCTTAAAAAGCTCCTTTTTTGGGGCGGGGGAGGTAATTGAGATTAAGTGACTTGCCCAAGGTCACACAGCTAGTAAATATCTGAGGGTGGATTTTAACTCGGGTCCTCCTGACTTCAGGGCAGGTGCTCTATCCACTACGCCACCTAGCCACCTCCCAAACCTTAAAGAGCCATATAAATTTGCCTTGATTTTAATTTGTTTGCCCCCATAGATCTATGGAGTTTCATCCATGTGGGAAACTCTTGATTTGGAAATTCCCTTTACCAATATAGATTTAAGAACTCAGCATGAAGCACACCTATAATCCTTGTTACTGGGGAGGACTGATTGAACAATGGGGTTCTGATCTTCTGGGTACCAAGCATGACACCAGTATGGTAACTCCTTGAGAGCATAGGTCGGGACAGAGGTGGGGACAGAGGGAGTCTCCTAAGAAGGGTCAGATTGGCGCAGGTCAACAACAGAGAAGGTCAAAGCACCCACGACAATCAGGAGTGGGACTGCGCTGTGAGTGGTAACTTTACTCCCAGCCTGATAGAGAAAACCAGTCTCAAAAATAAATAAACCAAAAAGAAAAAAAAAGAAAAATCAACCCTTAAAGATTTAGAGATTTGTTTGGGGGCACTAAACAAGTTGAGTGATTTGTGCATGGTGCTTCAGAGGCAGAATTTGAACGCAGGTCTTCCCGATTCCAAAACCAGCTCTTTATCTGCTATGCTATGCTGCCTTTCTGAGTAGCTATTAATATTTTGATTATCTAATCAAAAAGGCTGTAAACTAAAAGGGACAGAGAAGACTGTCTATTTATATCTCCAAGCTCAATACCATAGAGAATAGCTACAATGTGGGAAGAAGGGGAGAGGGGGATGGAATAAACATTTATATAGTGCCTACTCTGTGCCAGGCACTGTGCTAAGCACTTTTTTTTTTTTTAACAAATATTGTCTTGCTTGATCTTCGCAACAACCTTATGAGGTAGGTGCTACTATTATCCCCATTTTATAGCTGGGAAAACTGAAGTTCAGTGACTTGCCCACAGTCTCACAGTTAGCAAATGTCTGAAGCTGGATTTGAACTTAGGTCCCTCTGACTCCAGGCCTAGTGTTCTATCCACTATGCTATCTAGCTATCTCAGATAAGAACAGTAGTTAAGACACCCAGAAGTTCACAAGATGAAATCCGAGAAAGGAGCCAGGAGTAAAACCTTTGGTCTCAAATGTCTAAACAGAATTTTCTAAAGGTTAGACCACAAGCAAGATGAGTGAGGGGTCCTAAAACAAGAAAGGTAAGTTTGATCTCTTAGGTATCACTCAGTTATGGTGGGACATAACCTATGACTGGTACGGCTCTGGATGGGTTTACCACATACAAAAGAGTTAAAAGTAGGATGGAAAGAGCATTGTAAAGGGGAAAACATGATGGATAATGTTTGGGTGAAAGTTAATGGTGGAGAAATAGAAATTATTTTTGTCATTGGATTATACTACAGACCACTTGTACAGAACGAGAATATAGATGAGGAGTTTGGGAAACAGATGAGAAGCCTAAAACAAATGGGGCACTTGAAGGAGAACTTCAACTATCCTGCATTTGTTTCATTCTCTCTCTCTCTCTCTCTCTCACTCTTGCTCTCGCTCTAATAACTTCCTGACTTTCATCTTTCAAAAGGTTGAGGAACTGACAAGGGGAAATTCTATTTTGGATTTGTTTCTCACTAATAGTGAAGGTAGAAATGGTGGGAATTCTAGAGGGAAGTGAGTACTCCTTCCTTGAGCCTATGATAGAGGAGACAAAACCTAGACAGAATCCTAAATAAGCCTTAGATTTGGGGAAATCAGATTTCAAAGCATTCAGAGGAAGGCTAGGTAGGATCACATGGGTCAACATTCTTTTGGGGAAGTCAGCTCAGGAGAGATTGGATATACTCAAGGATGAAATCCTGAAAACATAAAGGGAAACAATTCCAGTGAGGAGGAAAAATGGGATTTGTCCAAAGATAATTATGAGAATGGGGCAGCTAAGTGGTACAGTGGATAGAGCACTGGGCCTGGAGTCAAGAAGATTCATCTTTGTGATTCAAATACAGTCTCATACACTTACTAGTTGTGTGACCCTGAGCAAGTCACTTAACCTTGTTTGCCTCAGTTTCCCCATCTGTAAAATGAGCTAGAGAATGAAATGGCAAACCACTCTAGTATCTTTGCCAAGAGAACCTCAGAAGGGGTCATGAGGAATTGAAGACGACTGAACAACAACAAATTATGAGACACAAAAGGAACTCATCATCCAATTTAGATTTTTAAAAAATTCACAGAAAATGGAAGCAAGGTCAGGTAATGAGGGATTAATATAAGAATGTAGCAAAGTCATATAAAAATAGTGTCAGGAGTGTGAAAGTTTAGAATGAGCTAAGACTGATTAGGAAAGCTAAGGACAACAATAATTTTTTTTATTAAAGCTAATAGGGAGAAAAAGAAGGACCAAAGAACCTTGGAGTACATGAAATGGGATAGTAACAACTGACAACGGAAAGAAGGCCGAGTTGTTTAGTTATTTTGCTTCTGTTTTCTCTGCCAAGGGGAATGACCTTTGCACTGGAAATGCAAATGGAACAAAAATGGGTAGGGATAAATGAAAAAACTCTTACACTTAGGTATAAAAAAATTCAATTTCACAAATGCAAGATAGGGGAGGCATGATTACACACAACAGCTTGCTTGAAAAAGATCTGGGTGTCTTAACTGACTGCAAGTTCAATATGAGTCAGCAGTGTGTCGTGACAAGAGAAAAACTAATGTGAAAAGAAAAAAGAAAGTATATAGGTATATAGGTTGTTATTGTAACAACCTATATACCTATACTATATTGAGTGTTTTCAGTTCGTAAGCCCAGTGCATTAGTAAGCAGAAGAAAGTGTTAATAAATATGATAGTTTTAAAAAACATTACTATTCCAAAAATATTAAAAACAAAAAACAAAATAAACAAACAAAAAATTGTGAACTCAGGCTACTCTGAAAGGAATAGCTTCTGGGGGGTTGGGGGAAGGAGGAGATAATCTCACAATACCCTGTTCCCATCAGACCTCATCTTTAGTATTGCATTCATTTCTGGGTACCATAATTTAAGAATTACATTGATTAATATGGAGAGTATCCAGGGGAGGGCAACTAACATGATGAGGAGTCATAAGAATTTCTGGTTAAGGACATAAGCATGTTAGGGGGTACAAGAGAGCTGTCTTCAAGTATTTGAAGGGCAATCATGTGTTAGAGAGATTTGGCTTGTTCTCTTTGACCCTAGAGCAGGAGTGGGGAACCTATGGCCTCAAGGCCACATGTGGCCCTCTAGGTCCTTGAGTTCGGCCCTTTGAATCCAAACGGAAAGACTTGAGGACCTAGAGGGCCACATGTGGCCTCGAGGCCACAGGTTCCCCACCCCTGCCCTAGAGGATAGATCCAGGATCAATAGGTGGGAATTTAGGCTTACTGTCAGAAAAAACTTCTTGCTTTGAGAAGTGGTGGGTTTCCCCTCCTTGGAGTGCTTCAAGAAAAATCTGCATGGGTCTTTGAGATGTATATTATAAAGGGAATTCCTTTGTGTTTAATTTGAACTAGATGGTTACTGAAGTCTCTTTCAACTCTCCAATTCCATGATTTTGTGATTGCTATGGGGACAGAGGACAGGGTGGGGTGCAGTGCTCACCTTAATCTCTTCAGCCTCAGAAAATGTGTCTGTTTCCTCCTCTGTGGGCATCTCGAGGTCAGACTCCTCAGAAGCGATGGGCACCTGCACTGTCAAGTATGGGTTGTTGATGAAGTTCATGTGGTCAAGTTCAATACTAGTTGGTGGGCATTCCACCACATCAATGTGGTTCAGGATGTGGTTGTCCTTCTTTAACTCTTCCTCTTCCTCTTGCTGCTGCTGCTGCTGCTTCTTCTCTTCGTCTCCACCTTCCCCCTCCTCAGCCTTCTCAGGTCCCTGCTTCATGTCCCCAGGAGCCAGGATCTGACCGTGTAAGAGGGCCAGGGAGAAGGCCTTAGCATAATCAATGCCCCAGGAGATGCGACCGATGGCGATTTGAAGGTTGTTCATCTCGCCATCGTCGTCTGAGGCTGCCAGGCTGTCAGCACTGAAGGAGCTCAGGAGCAGGGCAAGGAACAGATTCAGGACCTGGAGGGAAGGGAAACTGTGACTGAGCTCATTCAGGGCCAGTGCGTGCCCTCTAGCAGGGACCCTACCATCCCTCGGCAACTCTGTGCCCCCTCCACATCTGTGTCTGAGGCAGGGAAAGACTGGCAGAACCAATGCCCACCTCCCAAACCAGGGAATAGGGATTGATGAGCAGTCACTTCTTTTTCTCACCCACATGGGAGGAGGAGATGCAGGACAGCAGGTCACCCAGGACCTGTCTAGGAAGAGACCAACCAGGCCTTTTTCCAGTTTGGACTTGTAAAGAGGAACTTGACAGGCAAGGTGTTATGTGGGTGCAGGTGGAACACATCATGGAGACATGGTGATGGGGAGTAGCACTCCTTCTTTCCCTTGTTTTGAGGATTCTAGATCCATCTATCCCCTCAGCATCTTTAGCAGGCCCACCTCCAGTTAATCCTTCTCCCCCCTTTATTTTTTTATTTTAGGATTCAACCAATCAAATATTTAAACATCTTATAATAAAGAGCCAAAATATATTTACAAAGAAAAAATAAAAATAAGTTTTCACAATGGTTAGCCTACTGAAAATGCATCATTATCTTATTTATAATGTTACATATATTGAATTGAAATGGAATTTATATGATAACTTACATTTTTAAAAATTTCCTCCTTTAAACATGCCTAGATATACCTGAGAGAGGCAGAGTCACACAATGAATAGAAAACTAGATCTGGAGTCAGGAAAACTGAGTATTTACAAGCTGTGTTAACATGGCAACTATCTAAGACTACAAGTTACAAAAGGTTTGAGAGTTTCCACTAGCATTGGAAGTGGACACCATCAGAAATCCTTGATATATAGACATACATTTCCCTTATAATACTACTACAAGTAGTAAGTAGCGCTTTGTTCAGTCCTTTCAATCGTATCTGACTCTTCGTGACCCCATTTGGGATTTTTTTGGCAAAGATATAAGAGTGATTTGCTATTTCCTTCTCCAGGTAATTTTATAGATGAGGAAACTGAGGCAGACAGGGTTAAGTGACTTGGCCAGGATCACACAGCTAGTAAGTGTCTGAGGCCAGATTTGAACTAAGAAGGTGAGTCTTCCTGACTCCAAAAGACTCACAATGGAAAATGCTATCCACATCCAGAGAAAGAACTATGGAGTCTGAATGCTAATGGGAGCATACTATTTGCTCTCCTTTTCTTTTGTTATTTTATTTTGTTTCTTCTTTTTTGTGGTTCCTCCCATTAGTTTTAATTCTTCTTTACATCATGACTAATATGAAAATATGCTTAATATGAATGTATAAGTAAAGCCTATATCAGATTGCACTCCATCTTGGGGAGGAAGGAGGGGGAGGAAGGAGGGAAAGGAGGGGAAGAAAATTTAAAACTCAAAATCTTATGGAAGTGAATGTTGAAAACTAAAAGTAAATAAATAAATTATAAAAAAAAAGAAGGGGCAGATAGGTGGTACAGCGGGTAGAGCACCAGCCCTGGATTCAGGAGGACCTGAGTTCAAATCTGGCCTCAGATATGTAACACGCACTAGCTGTGTGACCCTGGGCAAGTCACTTAACCCCATTGCCTAGCCCTGCCCCCCCCAAAAATGAGTCTTCTTGACTCCAAGCCTGACACTATCCACTGCGCCACCTAGCTGCCCCAGTAAGTTGCGCTAGTCATCCACCTATAATTTTGCAAAGCGTTTTCCTCATAACTATCCTGTGAGGAAAGGAGTAATAAAAATAATAGTAAGCTTTTACATAGTGCTTAAAGGTCTGCAAAGTGCTTTACAAATTTTTCCTTATTTTATCCTTAAAATGACCCTGGGACCTCATTAAATGACCTCATTATTTTACAGATGAAGAAAATGAGGCAGCAGAGACAGATTTAGAGACTTTCTCAGGGTCACATAGCTAGTTAGTATCTGGGGTGGGATTTGAACTCTGATCTTTCATGCCCAATGTTCTATCTCCTAAGCTACCTAGCTGCCTCTTTACTAGTAACAAGTACTATTAGAGATTGGGTTAGATTTCATTAGCAAAGGGAATTCCTGAATAAGAAAACTCCACAGAGCGCCTTCTTTACAATTTAGAGAGTCTCCTAGAACACAGGGGGGTTATATGACTTGCCCAGGGTCCTCTAGCCAGTTTGTATCCCAGGTGGGATTTGAAGCCAGCTCTCCATCCACTATTCCATCCTGCTTCTTATAGAAGTGTCATTATACCCTTCATAACAAAATGAGGCAACTTAGGCTCAGCGAGTTGAAAGCAATTTGTCTAAGGTTGCATAGATTGCAAATGTCACAGCTGAGATTCGAACCCAGGAGTCCTGACTACAAGCCCAACACTCTTTCCACGAGATTGTGCTGCTTTCTAAAAGAAATAGAATCATTCTGTGACCCTAACATCTCCAACAGCACCTGTTGTATTTGTCTCCTGTCTTCCCTGGCTCCATTTCTAGGATGGGTGGTCTCCATTTCCTCACTCCTAATAAAAGAGAATAAATCCTGAAGTTCCGGCTCTGTTTGCCAACATTCTACTCCGACTGTACTCTAGAAGACTGCCAACCTCCTCCGCTTGGCTAAATCTGATTCTTACTCTCTTTTTCACCCCTGGTGTGTTTGGTACTACTGACCATTTCCTATTCCTTCTGAAATCTCCTTTTTGCCCCCCTGTCAATTCATGTTCTAGGAAACCATGCTTTCTTGATGTTCCTCCTACCTCCCTAACCTTATCTATTCTTTGTCTCATTCACTGACTCCTCTACTGATGTGGCTTCATGGGTTTAATCTTATAGCATCAGTTTTTAAAAAGGATGGATCTCAGGAGATGTCTATTAATGGGGGTTGGCTTAACAAGTTGGGGTATATGATTGTGATGGAATACTATTGTGGTATAAGAAATGATGAGCAGGATGATCTCAGAAAAACCTGGAAAGACTTACATGAACTGATGCAAAGTGAAATGAGAACCAGGAGAAGATTGTGCACAGTAACAGAAATATTGTAAGATGATCAACTGTGAATGACAGCTATTCTCAGCAATACAATGATCCAAGACAACTCTGAAGGACTTATGATGAAAAATCCTATCCCTCCCTAGAGGAAGAACTAATGGAGTCTGAATAGTGACACTTTTTTAACTTTATTTTTCTTGGGTGTTTTTTTTTGGCCTATGTTTTCTTTTACAACATGACTAATATGGAAATTTGTTTTGCATGACTACACATGTATAACCTAGATCAAATTGCATGCCTTCTCAATAAGGGGGGTGGGGAGGAAGGGAGAGAATTTGGAACTCAAAACTTCAAAAATGAATGTTAAAAATTATTTTTACATGTAATTTGGGGAAAATAAAATACTAAATAAAGAAAAAGAAAGGATGGATCTCAGAAATGAACATTTCAAAATGTCTCATGCAAAATCACAGTTGAAGACATTGTCCATTATGCTGATAACTGTCCTTATGGAAGTTTCCATGGGATAAATTCCTTCTTGAATTCAGGGTCAGAAACCCCCAAATGGCAAGTGGTTAAAGGATATGAAGAGGCAGTTCTCTCAAAGGAAGACTTTCAAGCTATCAATAGTCACATGAAAAAATCCTCTAAATCACTAGTAATTAGAGAAATGCAAATTAAAGCAACTCTAAGGTTCTACTTCATAGCCCTCAGATGGGCAAACATGACAAAAAAAGGAAAATGACAAGTGCTGCAGGGGCTGCAGGAAAACAGCCATATTAATGCATTGTTGGAGGAGCCGTGAATTGGTCTTGCTATTTTGTAGAACAATTTGGAACTATGTCTCCAAAGTCAATTAACAATGTATACCCTTTAATCTAGCTATGGCACTCCTGGAGTAGCGAGGTGGCACCGTGGATAGATTGCTGGACCTGAAATCAGGAAGACGTGAGATCAAATTTGATCTGAGACATTTACTAGCTGTGTGACCCTGAGCAAGTCATTTAACCCTGTTTGCCTCAGTTCCCTCATCTGTAAAATGAGTTGGTTAAGGAAATGGCAAACCACTAAAACAACAACAAAATGCCACTCCTAGAATGGTACCACAAAGAGATCAAAGAAAGAAGAAAGGGACTCACATATAAAAAAAAATATAACGGTACTTTCAGTAGTAGGAGAAAACTAGAAACTGAAGAAATGTCTAAACTCAGGAATGGCTGAACAAATTATGGTGTATGAATGTAATGAAATACTAATGTGCCATAAGAAATAATGAAAGGTGAAAACTAAAAACAAATAAATTAATAAAATCTGGAAAAAAAAGAAATAATGAAAGGAACAATTTCAGAGGAACTTGGGAAGTATGAACTGATACAGAATGAAAAGAGCAGGAGAACAATTTATACAGTAACAAGCAACATTGTAAAGACAAAGAATTATGATAGACTCAAGAACTCTGACCAATATATGATTCCAAGCAACAATGAAGAAGGCTGCCCGACTCCTGACAGAAGGATGATGCACTCAGGGTGTAGAATGAGACACAGATTTTTAGAAATGGTCAGTGTGGGAATTTGTCATAATTGATTATGCATATTTATTACAAGAGTTTCCTTTTCCTTTTTTTCTTTTAAATGGAGGTGGGCGGGCGGGAGGCATAGCAAATAAATGCTTGTTAATTGAAATGATAAATTAAATTTTAAAATGAATTTAAGGATAGGAAAATGCTAACTCATTCCGTCAGATCTACTTATGGTTCCATTGAGTCAGGGGACTTGGGTTCTAATCTTGGATTTGCCACCAGCTAGTCACAAAGCTGTGTGTGTGATTTGCCCTTTGTTCTCAAAGAGGACCATGACATCAGGAAGATGATGCTGTGACTTGCAAATGAATTGGATTACAGTGAGAGAGGGCTGTGCAAAGTCACCAGCCTCATTTTCTTCTCCAGAGCCATCTGGGTCCAGTGGCCAGATATGGATCAGGACAATTGGAGATGGCCCAGCAGTCACAAGCTTTGTGACCTTAGACAAGTCACCTTCCCTGCCCAGTG